TCCTTCGCGTTAGGGTAGCGATCCTTCCTAGATGATATCGCTATTCATTGTTACTTTTTACTACAATGAGTAGTGTTTCTCCGAAAATAAAGTCAGCTGCCTGGGCATTATTATACTGCCTAGGCATAGCGCCTGGACTTGGAAAAAAATTGATTTTGCAAGTCTTCAATCATGTTTGCATGGACGCGCTATCCAGCCATGTGGCGTGAACAGATTGCCTGACGTGAAAGGTAGCGCGGGCGCGCGAGTCGTAGATCTACGCGCTCGCGTACGTGTCTGACACGTGAAACGAAAAAAAAATTTTGGCGGGTAGTCGGCAAAAATTAAGTGACGGTCCCTTTAGTCCTTCGCGTTCGGCACACCCGGTTCATGTAGTATGTTGCAAATTAAGATGCTCTTGTTTGTTGCTGATAGAAAGATTGCCACTTCCCTCGTTTTGTTTCACCAACATGCTTTTCTTTTGACAACTATAGCCACTTCCCCTTTTTTAGACCTTACCTGGAAGGCCCATTCTTGCATATTCAAGCAGCAGCCAAGGGAGCTAGCTCTCTTGGTTATGCTGGTAGAAGGACTGGGTCCGACCCACCGTCCGAGGGGATCCACAGGATTTCCCCGATCCACAGGATTTCCTGTGGATATGAGATCCCCTCGTTTGAGGGGATTATGAGCCATAATCCCCTCAAACTAGGGGAAATATCCGTAGATCACCTGAAAAGGGTGATCTATACCTGTTAACCATGGACTGCTTCTGGCTAGATTAACTCTTGTGTAATCAATGGTGCTAGTGACGCTTAGATCAGATCCACTCTGATATAGCCACCCACACTAGTAGCAAGTATTACCTTCACTGAGGGCAGGGGTAACTGCAGTTGGATTCCAGGACGGATACCCTGATGCCGTCAATCCTTTTTCTGCACCTTGTCCTCACCCACTTACCGAGGTGTGGTGAGCCCATGAGTGGGATCATTTTCAAGTCCACCCAGAGTTTTAGGGATTTCAGGGGTGTCGGCCGTTGGGCGGTTCAATGGCCAATTGAGTCATCTTTCCAAGATTCCTTTTGAGTCTCTCTCCCCTCTCCCGGGGAGACCCACGTGACCAGTTTTGGCAGTGAGCAACAAGGACAAGTACAAGTATGGTATATACACAGAAGCCTTGCTTGGTAGTTTAACATGTTTTTCGATTTTGACAGCATGTTACAAGGCGAGGACATGGTTGTAGTCAGGAGCACTACACGTCCTCGCCTTGTAACATGCTGTCAAAATCGAAAAAGTACAAGTACATGTATGTGTGTGTGTGTGTGTGTGTGTGTGTGTGTGTGTGTGTGTGTGTGTGTGTGTGTGTGTGTGTGTGTGTGTGTGTGTGTGTGTGTGCGTGCGTGCGTGACCAAAAAGTAGGGATTCACTGGCCAGAAAAAGCCACTTCATAGCTGTGTGGTGTAGACCAGGCTGAATAGTGGTGGTCAATTCTTCAGCCTTGCAAGCTGTTGAATGTTGCAATCCCAGCACAAGTTGCTATGGCTTCTGCTGTAGCATCGCTATCATCGCCTCCAGCGATGGGCGTCAAATGGCGTGTGCGTGTGTGTATATACATGTATGTGTGTGACTGTGTGTGTGTATGTGTGTGTGTGTGTGCGCGCGTGTGTGTGTGTGCCAGCTAACGTTGGTTTGGTTGTTGGGTATACTTGCCGGTATTCCAGATAGTGTTGGGTCTGTTGCCTGCTTGAACGTGCATTGTTGTTCATATCACCTTTGTTGGTTTCAGCGTTCATATACGGGTACAATGTACTTTCAATTTTAAGAGTACAGTCAACTTCGCTTATAACGACACTCGGCGGGGCATCAAAAGGTGTCCTTATTCGCGAAGTGTCGTTATACCCGAAGTCTCATTTCATGTATTACATGGGATGGTACTTTATTATTATTATTATTATTATTATTATTGTAAAAGAGAAAAGGACATATGGATACGAGTTTAGAGTAACTCTCCATCACTGTAACATGATACTATATACAGTCAGAAAGTGCAATAACTAGGCACAAAACTGACAGAGTACTGAGACATTCGACGTCCTGACACCTAACTTTAACACATCTCCGTAGCGCTAACCGACAGCCTTCCAACTTGGAAGGTTCAAGGTTATGGAAAGACCAAAGAGGGGAAGGCAAGCGCAACGAAAACGAGCAAAAGCTACAGTCCCAACGGAACAAAGAATGTCGATTGTTACTGGACGATGACGAGACCAGTACGATATTTGACAAAGCGGTCTAACTACAATTCGAAGCAGCAAAGCAGCACACCACCCAACTTGGGTGGGTCATAAATATCAAAGATAAGTAAAGAAAGGGAAGCTTTGCGAAAACGAATTGTACAAGCCGAAAGCCAAACTCCTACAGTACTCCTCATGCATGACATTGTGATGGACTAGTTGACTACAAAACAAGTTGTTTCACACGACGTACGTTTCGCCGTATGGTTCGTGACGGCTCCTCAGGTGTGCAATTTGAAACTCGGATGTTGAGCCATAAATAAATGTAAAAGAGAAAAGGACATATGGATACGAGTTTAGAGTAACTCTCCATCACTGTAACATGATACTATATACAGTCAGAAAGTGCAATAACTAGGCACAAAACTGACAGAGTACTGAGACATTCGACGTCCTGACACCTAACTTTAACACATCTCCGTAGCGCTAACCGACAGCCTTCCAACTTGGAAGGTTCAAGGTTATGGAAAGACCAAAGAGGGGAAGGCAAGCGCAACGAAAACGAGCAAAAGCTACAGTCCCAACGGAACAAAGAATGTCGATTGTTACTGGACGATGACGAGACCAGTACGATATTTGACAAAGCGGTCTAACTACAATTCGAAGCAGCAAAGCAGCACACCACCCAACTTGGGTGGGTCATAAATATCAAAGATAAGTAAAGAAAGGGAAGCTTTGCGAAAACGAATTGTACAAGCCGAAAGCCAAACTCCTACAGTACTCCTCATGCATGACATTGTGATGGACTAGTTGACTACAAAACAAGTTGTTTCACACGACGTACGTTTCGCCGTATGGTTCGTGACGGCTCCTCAGGTGTGCAATTTGAAACTCGGATGTTGAGCCATAAATAAATGTAAAAGAGAAAAGGACATATGGATACGAGTTTAGAGTAACTCTCCATCACTGTAACATGATACTATATACAGTCAGAAAGTGCAATAACTAGGCACAAAACTGACAGAGTACTGAGACATTCGACGTCCTGACACCTAACTTTAACACATCTCCGTAGCGCTAACCGACAGCCTTCCAACTTGGAAGGTTCAAGGTTATGGAAAGACCAAAGAGGGGAAGGCAAGCGCAACGAAAACGAGCAAAAGCTACAGTCCCAACGGAACAAAGAATGTCGATTGTTACTGGACGATGACGAGACCAGTACGATATTTGACAAAGCGGTCTAACTACAATTCGAAGCAGCAAAGCAGCACACCACCCAACTTGGGTGGGTCATAAATATCAAAGATAAGTAAAGAAAGGGAAGCTTTGCGAAAACGAATTGTACAAGCCGAAAGCCAAACTCCTACAGTACTCCTCATGCATGACATTGTGATGGACTAGTTGACTACAAAACAAGTTGTTTCACACGACGTACGTTTCGCCGTATGGTTCGTGACGGCTCCTCAGGTGTGCAATTTGAAACTCGGATGTTGAGCCATAAATAAATGTAAAAGAGAAAAGGACATATGGATACGAGTTTAGAGTAACTCTCCATCACTGTAACATGATACTATATACAGTCAGAAAGTGCAATAACTAGGCACAAAACTGACAGAGTACTGAGACATTCGACGTCCTGACACCTAACTTTAACACATCTCCGTAGCGCTAACCGACAGCCTTCCAACTTGGAAGGTTCAAGGTTATGGAAAGACCAAAGAGGGGAAGGCAAGCGCAACGAATGAAATTTGACCTGGTAGAGTAGGCAGCAAGTTTTTGACCTCCGAGAATCCGTGGGATTTTTGGGTTTGTTTCTAAAATGTCGAGAGTGTGTTCGATACAGTTAGGGGAGGACCATCCAAGGAACGATCATGCGTTCTACGTAAAGCTGTTGCTGTCTGCTGGAGTAAAACCAGGAGATGTGAAGCAAGTAGATCTAAATGGCCGACGTGGATTCTGCAGAATTACATTTTGTAGCACTGAAGTAAGGGACGATGTTGTGACGAAAGGCCTGCAGGCTAACGGAACGCCTTTGACCTTGGTGGTTGGAGATGGTGCTGTAGTGTCAGTCCATGCTTTTGGCGTGGCTGAAGACGTTTCCCTCCCCTCCATTGTCTCTGCAATCGAGAAATTCGGCACTGTGATCGGCAAACCAAAGCGGGAGGTGAAAACCATTGAAGCCTGTACCTTCACCACTGGAACGGTGTACGTCAGTATAGTACCGACCGTAGCTGTCCCCTCTGTGATTGTCTTGCCTGGCACACACCAGAGAATCCGTGTATGGCACAAGGGTCAGACCCCAACATGCTATAAGTGTGGGCAAGAGTACATAACTACACAGTGTAGTTATGTACTCTTGGTGTGGGTCAAGCCACCACGTGTCCAGAAATTGCACTCAGCAGATGCAACGGGGCAAGAACTCTGCATCTGGTAGAGTCGGGTGATCGGTGCCCGGACACTTTTGTGTACGCATTTTTTGGGAGATATTTTTTGCAGTAAAATCCATTGCCAAGTAGTAAAAGTCCGCACATGGGTCAAGCAGACGTGGATTATTCCTCTCACTGAGTGTTTTTCGAAATTCTAACTCCTATCTCGCTGGACACTGTCACTGAAAAGCAAGCCAATTTTCACGAGGATTTACGTTCGAGTTGATGGTGTTCAATGCCCGGACACTTTACATTTTTACTCCGCAGCAGCGACTAGTGTCGATATTCATTGATTGAAAGCTATTATCCCCGCATTCAACATGTCTTCGGTTCACACCAGCAGCCGTGGACAGTCTGAATAAGGTAGGCCCGAGTGACAGCCATGATCATTATTATCCTCTTGTGGGATATGGTAATTTTGAGTAGCCTTTGAGAATTTGCGAATTGAACACGTTCAGCATGAACTGGTGTCAACACTGAACTGGGCATGTGATATTCAGTAATAGTACAACAGTATTATACGAGCTGAGCCTGTTACAGAAGCGCTCATGGCTGGGATTTCAATGTGAAGTTTCAGGTGAAATTGCTTGAAAGAATTTCAAAAAATCAAGATGTTATACAATTCATGAAAGAGGCATTAGAAATAATATATACAATATATACATGGTTTGACGTGCCTTTGTCATTTGTACAAGTACCTGTCAACACTCACAGTGTATCAGGCACACAGTTCACACATTTACCATCAGGATGCACAGCTTCCAAACATGCAGTGTGCAGTGATGCAAAACAGTCGGCACAGTTGTCGTTGCAGGCTTCACCGCAGATCAAACATGTCTGAGGATAAGTAGGAGTTGGCTGTGCTGCCAGTGCTGCTGTTGCTACTGTTACTGCTGCCGCTGCTTCTGCCTCTGCTGCTGATGATGATGTATGTGCACTGGAGGTACTGCTCCTGCGTTGCTCTCGTTGCCTCCTGTTGGCCTCCTTGGCATCTTCTTTCTTTTGTCTTTCTTCTTCAACTCGCTGCAGGGCTGTGAAGAACTCGTCGCTTGTCAAGGTACGAGCCTGGCTCGCTGCAGATGGAAGGCGTCTCGGTGTCACAGCTGGCGTCATGAAAATTGATGCAGTGCTGGGACTGATGACACCAGCAGTAACCAAGCTGGTCGCCAGTGGCATTTCAACGAATCCCGTGTCCTGTGTTGGTGCTGCTCTAGCTGCTTTCCACATGTCGTATCGTGCGTCCGGCACATCATATCCTTCAGATACGCGCCTCTGGAACAGTGCTTCCTCTTCTGGGCTGAGTGGTTCCATACCTGATTCAGCGCGATGAACTTCAGATGGTGCGAGGACATGCTGAGGAATAACCCTTCGGTCCGTAGGGTATACCCCCGTTACTTTAAAACTTGCCATGATGTTGGCGGGGGTGACGGACTTCGTGAATGTGTCAGCAAATATTGGCAGAAAGTCTGACAGGGCGAGACTATGGCTGGGCTTTAACAAGCGGGCAGCTGCACTGGTGCTCTGGTGGTGTGCTCCCATTGCACTGAAGACAGTCTTGTCGAGTGGCTGCAGTATGTGGGTAGTCTTGGATGGAAGCGCAATGAAAACAACATTAGACTTCCTCGCCAGCTCGAGTATCTCCACGCTAATGTGGGAGGAATGGTTATCCATCAGTATCAACTGGGTCTTCTCCCGGGATGTTGACGCCAAGAAGAGATCCTTGAACCAGCTCTGAAAAAGCTCTCTGTCCATGGACCCAGTCTTGGATGTGCAGTAAATTGCGCCTGGTGGTCCATTCTCCACCAGGCGTGTGGTAAGCTGTGCACGGTTGTAGATAAGCTGAGGGGGCAGATGGTTGCCGCAGGCATTGATACAAATGTTGGCTGTGATGTGGTCATGGCTGCGTTTGTGCTGCTGCTGTGCCTTACTTGCCCTAGCCGTCACAACTCGCTTGGGAATGGGGTCGGGATTGAATCCCTTCTCATCAACATTCCATAATTGACCCGGAGCGATGCTGTGCTTCTCGATAGTGGCCTCCAGCAAGTCGAAAAATGCACTATCGCGGCTGGATTGGCATTTCTTGCTCTGGACTCCTCCAGAGATGTTGGTCTTTTTGTTGTTACTGTAGGGTTTCTCTTCTTGAATCTCCTCCACCACATTGTGGTCAGTTTCTGGCATGGTCGTCCTGTCTCCCGGCGTACAATTTCAGCGGCCAGTGCGAGGCATGTGGCTGTGAGCACAGGCAGAACACGACAGACACAATTGTACATTTCTCACAAATATACTTGGGTACACTGGTTGGATCCTAGTTTTCACATTTTGTAATGCTGCACTGTTAGTAATCAGTACACTGAGAGTCCGTGGTTACTGGTAAATTGGTACTGGCCCTTTTGCATATGGACAGTCCGGGGTGCTGCCATCGAAATGACATGAGCAATTTTTTAAACAAAACGGGAGAGTGGAGCAGACTCCCAGATTGACCTGGCCGTGATTATGCCTGACACATTATATGTATCATGTGGGGGTTTCCCAAACCGGCACCGGCGATGTATGTCTGTGTGCATTGCACACGCTTCGTCTACATCTTGTTTCCTGATGTTATTTTGGGCCCTTCGAGGGCAGCACCCCTGACAGTCCATACAGAGTGCAAGGCTGTGGTAGTGTGGTAGTGTGCTTCTCACATTGACCGTACATTTATGGTTCCCACACAATATATGTATATCTTCCGAATAAATACTCAGGAAATCGCAACCCCATGCATGCAACAGTGCTGGTTCAACATGGACTGGTGGCTTCATAGCAAGTAATAATTATTATTAATTAATTTTTGTTCAAGGGGATTGTAATACATGATTATGTCATAGACATTCATGTACAGATGAAATTTGTCCGCGAAAATGCATGCACAAGTGCGTGGGCGTCAAGAAGAAGCCGGAAATCCGAATGCACATGCGAAAAATAAAAATTTGAATTTCCGCGGGAAACCGCACTTGGGATGCACGTGCGGGGCCTGGGGGAAGAACTAAAATAATTTGTAACGAAAGTATTTTCACTCAAGAGCTCACCTCTGCTGATTCCGAAGCCTGAGTTTGCCAAGGAGGTGATGTATTCCACGAGTAGGTCTTCGTGTTTCTTCGCAAGAAGTGGAGCAGGGCCAAGTCACGATGATCTCCCATGGAGCCGATCATACAAAGTAGATCTCTTCACCCCGAATTGTTTGCTCGCTTTGCGAATGGAGAGGCCGGCGTTGCATGCCGCCACGGCTTCCTCCATTGTGGAAATTATAAAAATGCTTGGTGAACGAGTTGTGTTGGGTGGTTTTGTGACTTGTGGATCTGGGGATATCATTTCCTGGAAGTGTTTCCATTTGGCTCGTCGCAGCTGAGGCCCTCTCTTGCCGCCAGGACTCACCAGCTGAGAAAAATGCGCGGGAAATTTAGCTGTTCGAGACGTGTTAGAAGGGATGAGAAATGTCCCTTTGTTCTGGCTCTCACGTACTTTCTTTTGACTTCAACTTGCTTGGGGATGTTGGTTATTGTGCTGACAACAGCCTGTGTCGCTTGAAAGTGTTTCAGCTGGTGCGTTCGTGTTTCTGGAGAGCGAGTTCTCTTCGTTGTGACTAAATTTCACTATAATTTCGCATAAAATAATTCATCGGCACCGCATGCTATTTTCCTTTGAGCTGGCGATTTGTGGCTTCGTGTGCTGTCAAATCCTACCCGAGGGTATCATCCATGAACATTTGGGGGTAATTGCGATAGTAACTTCAGAGAAGTAAAGTGTCCGGGCATCGATCACCTGTCCGGGCACCGATCACCTGACTCTACACATGATGTACATTTCTAGAAGATGGAGTCACGTGTTTAGATATGTTCTGCTCCTCATAATCACTACAGTCACATCCTGCTGGCACTCCTCAATGTGTTGCCTAGACTCGCCCTTACCACAGAACTGTAATCGATTGTCTTGTCTTTCCGGCTGCGCGACCTGCCTGTTTCCATTGCACGTTTATTCCCGTAGCTATGCAGAAGACGTTACTTCAGTAACGTCTGGCGCTAGCCAGGGTCCACACAGCTTTAATTTGGTGTTTGTGTGTTTGTTTGTTTGTTTGTGTCACGGCTGGAGCTATCCCGTATCTGTCCCGTATCTGTGACTACAAAGGCTCTACAAGATTGTACATAACAGCTGTCCACAATATTTGCGGGCTCCTGTATCTGTCCCGTACCGTACCAGTATTCGTCGTATTATGTATTCGACTCCCTGATGTAGAGGGAGATTTGGAAAGAAATAGGGAGACGAGGAGGAAATTAAATTAGAATAGACGCCGAATAGGTGATAGGATGCGTCCGCATTAACATGCATGTACTTTGGAAGAGAGATCTCGTCTTCTCCAAAATAAGCGTGAACGAGCGATTCAGCGCCGGTCACAGGAAACGTCGAAAGAGAGATCCCGTCGACTCCAGAACCCCGTGATCGGCAGAGTCCGCCGGTCCCAGGCAACGTCAGGACAGACATCCCGTTGAGTCCAGACGGCCGGGATCGGCAGAGTCTAAGCCGGTCCCAGGAAACGTCAGGACAGACATCCCGTCGAGTCCAGAACGCCCGTGATCGGCAGAGTCAGCGCCGGTCCCAGTGAACGTCAGGACAGACATCCCGTCGACGCGCAGAAAAACTAAATCTGCAGCCTCTTTTGGCGTCGGACAGGATACGTACGTATTATAGGAGACTGTAAAGTTATGTAATGTCCAAATTTCCACGTGAGCAGCAGATCACTCGCGTTGATTTTTCGACATGCGAGCCAAATAACGCGAGCTGAACTTTCGCGTCGCAGACATCCAGTCGACGCGCAGAAAAACTAAATCTGCAGACTCTTTTGCCGTCGGACAGGATACGTACTTTAGGAGACTGCTAAGTTATGTAATGTGCTCCACAGGCAACCATGCATTCGGCGGCGTCATTGGCTCAACAGGTCAATGTACATGTATTACTACAAAAAGGCCAGAAAATCACTGTATTAAAATCAACTAATTTTCGCTGGCGATTTAATTTCGCTGATTTCGCCGCTTGGTACCAACCGGCCAAAGTAAATCGCAGGCCAAAGTTTGTCATCTAGGCAAATGATGCATGATTGAGCAATGGATGCATGTGAGAGCAAAAATACCGATCGATTTCAAATTTGACGTGAATTTGCGCGTCACGTCGGAAATAACGTGCATCTTAACCTCTCTAATAGAGAGGTTTCTATTAATTTTCTCATCGGCAAAAATTTGTTGATTCACAGTATAAGGAGATAAAAAGAAAAGAAGGAGCAAACCAAAAGTAGATGATTATTAGAGATATAACAATCCGCAATAAATTCTGCAAATACCTTTGCCTCAGTTCTTATAACATGTACGATGAGCTAGGCAAAAAAGCATAAAAGCATAGCGTAGGGCCCTGAGCTTCCAAGCTCTCTCGTAGTGTTACAGGTTCCTTGCAGCAACGTGCCACTCGCTCCTGCTGACTTTGCTTGCGCTCTGTTTGCTGCTGCCTGCTCGATGCTTCTCATCGCAGCTGCTTGCTATAGACTTCAGCGGTATAAGTTTGCTGACTGGAGTAGAGTGTGGCAGTTGAGTGCAGTAGAGTTGTAGAGTTGAGTTTATTAGAGAGTTTACATTACCGCTCAAGTGGATTTGTCCGCTTGAGCCGGGTTTTTGCATTGCAGTTTCTTACCTATCCTTTGCATTTCTACTTTTACTATATCGGACCTTTGTGCTCCGCCACGCTGATTTCTCTGTGCGTTGGGTCTGAGGTATGCCTGAGTGGAATGACCAAGAGGTGCACATATACTTTGTGCAAACGGGCTTGGGATAACTCACACTTAGGGATGATCGGCCGACCACGACACCTTGATTCCTCAATGACGGTCATATTTCTCATGCGTTTTCGCCTCAGGAACTCAGTCAGAGTCCTAGTGTGTGGACAAGCAACCGTAAAGACACACGCACACACATACACATACACAACCCTATCCCAGCCCCCCGCTTGACCTTGACCTTGATCTTGCACATTGCGTACGCAATGATAGCGAATGTCGGAAAGTTCAAGTGAGAACACGCGCGCAGAACTTGGCATGTCGTTTCAGGTCTCCTGGTCGACGAAATGGGCGTCCACAGACACATAGAAGAGGACCAGGAGCGGGCCGTGGCGGTGGGGTGCTACTCGCAACTCGTCTCCAGCCTGGACGATCTTGGCAACTCTCAAGCCAGGTGGTCACGCCGAGGTCCGCCAGGTCAGTCGACACCACATCTCGCCACCTCTTCTTCGGGCCGTGACGAGGACGGGGGGCAGGCAGCTCGCCGAACAGCAATTGCTTCGGTGCGCGTGAGTCGTCCATCCTGCCGACGTGACCCAGCCAACGAAGTCGGTGGTGATGGATGATGCGGGTTAACACGCATGCACTCGCTATTGCAGACCAGTGGAGAGCACACATCATATGGAGGATTCATGGAGTGCTGGGCAACCGAATCTGGCATGTGATAATCATGTAGGATAGTCCACGCACGAGGTGCAGCCCATGAAATGGGCACCCATGAACTGGGCGGAGTGTGGACGGCCTGTATGATGGTGTGTATGTATGTCCACGCACAAAGTGCAGCCCATGAGATGGGCGCCCATGGAATGGACGGAGTGTGGACGGCCCACGCACACGAGGTGCAGCCCATGAAATGGGCACCCATGAACTGGGCGGAGTGTGGACGGCCTGTATGATAGTGTGTATGTATGTCCACGCACAAAGTGCAGCCCATGAGATGGGCGCCCATGAAATGGACGGAGTGTGGACGGCCCACGCACGAAGTGCGATACCCGTTAGGAGGCAGGAGTGTGGGAGTATGAGTGTGATGGCCGAAGGCCGTGATAATTGCCAGATGAGAGGAGATAGCTGGCCCAGCACTCCTATTTATTTTCGTCTTGTATGAATTATGATACCTGTGTTGAATCAAGGATATCAATATTATTCATAGATGGGAAGAGGTGGGTGGGTGAGAAAGGAACAAACCGGTGTTCTTCTCACTACCCAAGCAAAGCAAATATGAAGTAGCAATGTGGCCAGCGCGAAGTATGGTGTATGCGTTACGGGTTCAAGCTCCGATGTGTGCTGCAGCCGCATATGGCTGGTTGGCTGGCGAGTTCAGGTGAGTTCCGGCGTACGCATGTTACATGCCACCACAGCGTGCATGTGCGTGTTACTTGACATGCATCAATGAATAGCGTGGGATCTGCGGGGTCTTTGGAAGCCGCTGGAGCGCGTGTGAAGTGGAGGCTTGTGCAATGTGTTAACCTACATTACCGCAAGCTCTAATGTGCTATTAACACGCATGCACTCGCTATTGCAGACCAGTGGAGAGCACACATCATATGGAGGATTCATGGAGTGCTGGGCAACCGAATCTGGCATGTGATAATCATGTAGGATAGTCCACGCACGAGGTGCAGCCCATGAAATGGGCACCCATGAACTGGGCGGAGTGTGGACGGCCTGTATGATAGTGTGTATGTATGTCCACGCACAAAGTGCAGCCCATGAGATGGGCGCCCATGAAATGGACGGAGTGTAGACGGCCCACGCACACGAGGTGCAGCCCATGAAATGTGCACCCAGGAACTGGGCGGAGTGTGGACGGCCTGTATGATAGTGTGTATGTATGTCCACGCACAAAGTGCAGCCCATGAGATGGGCGCCCATGAAATGGACGGAGTGTGGACGGCCCACGCACGAAGTGCAATGCCCGTTAGGAGGCAGGAGTGTGGGAGTATGAGTGTGATGGCCGAAGGCCGTGATAATTGCCAGATGAGAGGAGATAGCTGGCCCATGGTTGCCCAGCCTCCATGCTAAGTTGTGACACATTGCAATGCTCGTGAATGACACTGTTGTTGCTATCAGCGCAGTTTGTCAGCACAATCCTAGCAGAGCAAGTTGCTGTGCTGTTCCAAACGGTCAGCCGTGTGGGTACGTGCATGGGTGCGAGTTGCGTGCCCGCGTGGCGGGTTCTTACATACCTCCATGTGTTCTGTGATGCGCTTGTACCTCTGACAGCTTTTGGGTCAGCTGCCCCATGTCTGTGTCGGTTGTCCTGATGTAGCGCAAGACACTGTCGCTTCTCCATCGGCCCATTGCCCTGATTAGCCAGTCCGGGGTACCCGCCATGGCTGCAGTTGTGGCGGCACCGATGCGGAACGAATGACCAGCGTAATCGCGTGAATTGGGTGTTCCCGTGAGTGGGAGAAGCTGTCGGAGCTCTTCTGTCAGTGCCTGCCTGGTCAGCGGTCTCCCAGGGCGGTAGCGGAAGAGTGCGTCAGCGGCGTCAGACGGACAGACTGTAAAATATGCCAGGAGGGCGGCAACCGGGCAAGGTTGTGCAGTGGTACTACCGATTATCTGCATGGCCCTGACGGAGTCGGTCCGTCTTCGATTGCTTGATGTGGAAGCGGATATATGTACGTCCTTGAGTGACATCCAGAGTCACATCCTGGCGCGTGGCATGAGTGGCAGGGTCAAACCCGGCTGGAGGCGCAGTGAATTCAGCGCATCGAAGAAATCCGAAGAAGGCGAGCACCATTGCCGCCTTGAGCATGCCCTTGTCCTGCTGGTGACGCCGTTGGTCCAGGCTGAGTTGGTTGAGGAGCTTCCGCAGCAAATCAATGGTGATTGGGAGGCGAGTGCGCTGGATTGCTGGGTCAGTCGCCGTCCTCTTGATGCCTCGCATAACACGTGGCAGCAGCAATGCGTTCATTGTTGGATCTCGGAATCCGGCTTCGAGATGCATGTTGCGTACTGCGGCCATGTAGACATGAATTGTCTGTGGTTGAACCGATTGTGTGAGGTGTGCTGCAAAGCAGCTGAGCATCGTGCCTGTAGCCGGCATGGGCGTCCATCTCTGCAACGCACAGAATTGCGTAAATTACCTTTCGCCAGTGGTGTACGTGCGCCGTGTTGTCGGGGCGATTGCCATGGCTGCCAGGTCGGCGACCTCCCGCATCAGTCCAGGAGAGGGAGGCGGATTGCAGTGTCCGGGGCTTGCTGTGCCGATGGTGCCAGCTGCTGGAATGTCTGTCAGAGTGATACGGAAATAGGGCTTGGCGCGGCTAACCTCTTGTTGATATCCCATAAGCGCCGCGTAAATGTTCTGCCTTGTACGACGACGCTCGACGCAAAGGAGAGTTTCCCCAGGAAGTGATCGAGTTTGCGTTGCGTGGTCTGGGTGCAGCGTGACAGCTCGCTGAGAAGCTCGCGGAGGTCCGCCGGTTTGTCGTCTGGGAGACGGGCTTCCATGCGCACCGTGTCCAGCACAATTCCGAGGAAGGCAGTAATGTGTGTATCTCGCTGCGCTCGGCCGGCGAGAAATACAACTTTCTGAAGAGATCAATGAGCTGTGATGTAAGTATGCTGTCTTCAGCTAGGCTCTCTAGACCAGCATCAAATGTATCCCTGCTAAGAACCATTGACAGAACGTCACCGCAGAGAGCACAGTGCAAGCCAGGCTGGAGCATGCATCATTGAGGCTATCTTGAGTGATATCGGAACCAAGCAGCCACTCCTGGACTTTGTTATCCCTCCAAAGCACTTTATCAGCACATGGATCATCGAGGGTGTCGGATTTGGGCTGGCCAGAGTCATAAGACTGTGCTGTGTTGGTAGTGTGCAAGCTGACTACATCCTGGCTCTCATGAAGACAATCATGTTCCTCTGGATCATGTGTCAGGGAACGCGAATAGTTGGGGTGACAGTGCTCTATTTGGCCTTCATGAATTACCTGTTGTGGAAGGCGTTCACCAGGCAAACTGCACATCGGTAAAGCGGTGATCTGCTGCGTATCATCCTGCCCAGTCATGGGGACTTGCTTGGCACCTTCTTCCTGCATCGTCCACTCGGACACAGGTACCACCGGTAGTCACGTTTCGTCCAGGTTAAATACCAACTGGGATGGGGTGTTCTGCGCATTAATCTCCTCGCTGATCCCTTTTTGGTGAGCTGTGTTCTCAGCTCCTCCACGCTGTCCGGCACCTTCTTGCGAGTTTTGGTTGCCTTGCGCTTGACAAAGTGCATTCTACTCATCAGAGGTCTTGCGAATGGCCGACAATTTGGGCCACGAAACCCACCGTTCGCTTCTAGCAATGACGGCTTCATCACTGGACTGGTTCCAGTGGCAGTCGCTATCGTTATTCTGCTGTTCACAACACCACGGGCAGAATGGAGTGCGCGATGGTCGCCTGCGCACCAGGTCATCAATTTCTGAATCCAACAACAACAATGTTCGACCCCAGGTGCTGTGCGGCAGGGTTTTAGCTGGCCGGGACCAGGGGTTTTCTTCCGCTTCGCCGAGTAGTTTTTCTTGATGCTGCAAATGGCGGTGTGGCACACAGGATGTTCCAGAACCTTGCTAAAGTGTTCAGCAACGCGGTTCACTGCATGTTCCGTCGAGTATTTCCCAATCTGCTAGTGCATCTCTTCGTCGTAGTGGTTGTTGTATCAATGGCAACAACGTGGGATCCACCTTGACATCCGGAATGATGGCCGAAATCACCTCCACCAATGTATCCCGTTCGTCCGGTGGCCAAAACTCTCGTACTAGTACTACAGTACTGGCAACTGAAATCCGACCCCTGAGCGGTGCGCTCACATCGCAAAGACCCAACGCGGTATGGTAAAACTACGAAACAGAGACCGCTAGAATGTGAACGCATCACTAGGGGGTCGGATTTCAGCTGCCATAACTGTAGTAAAGGCTCTTGTACTAGAACCAGTAGTGAGTCATCTTTATTTATTTTTTGAAAGGAAAGGGACACATGGAAACGAGTTAAGAGTAACTCTCCACCACTGTAACTAGATACTATATACAGTCAGAAAGTGCAACAACTAGGCACAAAACTGACAGAGTACTGAGACATTCGACGTCCTGACACCTAGCTTCAACACATTTCCGTAGCGCTAACCGACAGCCTTCCAACTTGGAAGGTTCAAGGTTATGGAAAGACCAAAGAGGGGAAGGCAAGCGCAACGAAAACGAGCACAAGCTACAGTCCCAACGGAACAAAGCATGTCGATTGTCACTGGACGATGACGAGACCAGTGGGCGATTTGACAAAGCGGTCTAACTACAATTCGAAGCAGCAAAGCAGCACACCACCCAACTTGGGTGGGTCAAAAATATCAAAGATAAGTTAAGAAGGGGGAAGCTTTGCGAGAACGAATTGTACAAGCCGAAATCTAAACTCCTACAGTACTCCTCGTGCATGACATTGTGATGGACTAGTTGACTACAAAACCCCTGCCTAGTTGTTGCACTTTCTGACTGTATATAGTATCAAGAGTACATAACCCCAAGACTGTGCAACTGCCTGCACAACCTCTATGCTGTGCTGCGACGGCAGAACTTCACATCACGTGACATGGTTCAAAAGGTTATGCTGGCAAACAGTGCAAAATGATCAGAAGAGAGTTGTACCCCAAGCTGGGCTGCGTACAACCCAGTATCTATCATGCACAGAGTGCAAATAATGTGTACGGGTTCATCACGTGATGTGAAGTTCTGCCGTCGCAGACCCCATAGCTGGAGTTGCACACTCTTGGGGTTATGTACTCTTGATAGTATCTAGTTACAGTGGTGGAGAGTTACTCTTAACTCGTTTCCATATGTCCTTTTCCTTTCTACTTTTAAAGCTATATTGATTAGTTTTTTTTTATTATGGTGCACGCAGTCATCAGCAGGCCCTCAGATTCACTTTAAATTCTTTCAATGATGCAGAAGTCTTCACTGAGTCGGGAAGTTGTAGCCACGCACAGTAGCCCTGGAAGAATGGCGATCTTGTGAATTGCGTTGACTTGGCCTTGGGAAGAGACACTTTGTTTCTGGTTGAGCGGCCCGAAACAAACCAGTTATAAGGCTTTTTATGTTCAGGAACACGACCCAAGAGCATTCGATGAACCAATATACAGAGGCAAGTTAGTCGGCGTTGCTCTAACGGAGTATTCAATTATTCAATCCACAAAATTGTATACCAAAAGTGAAGAACCATTTGAGGTAAATAGCCATTGTAAATATGAAAAAAAGGATATTATACAATGTACTAGTAGTGCTTATAAAAAAGAAAAGAGGACCGAGAAACTACAAGTTACGCTATAATGTCCACTAACACCACCAGTTACTAAACAATCAGCTCATGCGATAACATTGCACGACACTGTCCGACGGTGCTGACGTTCTACAACTAGCTGGCGTAACTTGTAGTTTCTTGGTCCTTTTTTTCTTTACTATAAATGTATCCTTGGCTCTCCATCCGAGTCCATACTTGTAGTACTGTTTGAAGTAGTAGAAGTAATACCGCACATGCTTCAGGGGCACTCGAGCATCTTATCACCGCAGGCTCGCAGTTGAATGCAGGCTGAGGGCTGGTCAGCAGTAACTCTCTGCCTCTGGTATCATACGTTGCATGATTGGCAGTAGTAGTCACTGTCGTATCAACAAGCCCTGATTACATTTGAATGCGTTGAGTTCTTTGTCCATTGTTGCTCTCACATTTTGCTGATTGCAATAAAAACTTTGTGTCGAGTACCGTCCACATGTATATGCGCATACAGTATGCAAACACCGTTTGCTTGCTCACGGGAAACTCAAGGGGCAAGACCTGTGAAAAATGGGGGAGAGACCTAATGGAAGGAAAGGCGTTTAAGAACAACGCTTGCATGACAAACTGAGAACGCGTAATAATGATGTTGATGTAAGGAACAATGCTAGATATTAGCGGCTGAAAGTTGGTATGCCGTCTCTAGCCCAGTCGTTTGAGAATGTATAATATTCTGCTGTGTCACTGGATTGTGATCTCTTTCTACTACTGTTGCTGTTTTTGCAGAACTCATTGGCAGGGCAAGTGTTCCCTGCTGAGGAAATAGAAGACAGAAATTGCGTAATGGAGATCCGTTCTGGTGGGTGATGTGATAATTGTGATGTGTGTGCGTGTGTGTGTGTGTGTGTGTGTGTGTGTGTGTGTGTGTGTGTGGTGTGTGTGTGTGTTTGTGTGTGTGTGTGTGTGTGTGTGTGTGTGTGTGTGTGTGTGTGTGTGTGGTGTGTGTGTGTGTGTGTGTGTGTGTGTCCCATACGGTGCAGTGGTATGTGCAGTCGATTTCCAATCGAGAGGTTGCGGGTTCCATTCCCGACGATTATGGTCGCACACGTCTTTCTTCTGTTTCTCATTCTCCTAGCTCTTCTTTCATTCTCCTGGGTGGTTACCAACAGCCAGTGTTTTGCCGGAGTATGTGGTGTGGCGTGTGTGTGTCAAAAAAAGAATTAAAAAAATGGAAAATGAAAAAAGGGATTCACTGGCAAGAAAAAGCCACTTCGATCAGCTGTGTGGTGGATACCAAGCTAAAATTAATGGCGGTCAATTCATCAGCCTTGCAAGCTGTTGACTGGTGTAGTCCCAGCACAAGTTGCTATGTCTAACATAGCTGTTCGCTATCATCGCTTCTGCGATGGGCATGTCTGAGTCTGAGTATGTGTGTGGAGGGGGTGTTCATAGTGTGGCACCCCGCTAGCCAGTGCATTGCCCATATCTCATTCTTTTGTCTGTTGTTTTATCGGGCCGTGTTCCACAGGCGTTGGTGGCTCAGAGGCAGCGTCATTTGCTATGGAGCTGTTTCGCATGTATGAAAAGTAAGTTTGTTCTCCAAGAGTCACGGATACTTTACTCCTGTCATTGGCTGGGGAGAGGGGGGGGGGGGGGCTCGTAAGTGTCGCATTGTGCGCATACCCTCTTCCCCAGGAGTATGCATATCTACTTTTGGGGTTTCGTGCAGCGCAAACCTACATTTCGCTGTGGTGGCATCGCCTAGCACCTCAAGGAGCAGCCAGGGTGGGAGCAGCACAGTGGCCGCTTCAATTCGATCACTCTGACGTGCAATGGGCTGCACCTTCGTGCACTCGGGGCGCTACACATCCGCTGCTGAACTGCAGTGCGTGCAGAAGCCGTGTGTACCTGAAGTGACCCGTCACTGTGAATTCCTGAGCTAGAGCTTGGCTTGTTGTCTTGGAACTAGCGCCCTCCCTTTCACTCACACATTCCCGTTGTAAAGTACCACCAGAGCGCCCCACCATAACGTCCATTTCCCGGTGGTGCTGTGGAGGTGGTGTCTTGTCTGTAGGTCATACATACGGCTAGGGTACCCCGTAAGGAGACCATAGGTCTGTGGGGACTGCCCGAGAGAAATCTGAATAAATACTACTAAATAGTAGTTAAATAACCGACGAGGAGACAACAGTCGTAAAATAGCAATGAAAAATATCAATTGTGCACTCATAATCATGTATAAACAATTAAAATGAAACAATTCCAGAACGTTTTCGTGTGACCATCATCAGTGGAACATCGTCACATAGTAAGAATCACTAAAACAACCAGTTATATAGCTAGAGTAACATGAAAAGAAGCGTGAGAATGCAGCACAGCTAGCGGTTATGCATAACGCGTGTAGTGTGAACCTTTGCAGTGTATCTGAGAATGGTAGCAGTAGATGAATGTGGCAGCTGTGAGTGCGTGTGAACAAAAACTGGTGAGTGCGTATTATTTAAAAAGTGTGAGTGCTACAACATTTTCTTTTTGCTTACCGCTAGCTGTGCTGCATTCTCACGCTTCTTTTCATGTTACTCTAGCTATATAACTGGTTGTTTTAGTGATTCTTACTATGTGACGATGTTCCACTGATGATGGTCACACGAAAACGTTCTGGAATTGTTTCATTTTAATTGTTTATACATGATTATGAGTGCACAATTGATATTTTTCATTGCTATTTTACTAAATAGTAGTCTAGTGTTTAAACCGAACACGGATTCTTCGAACGAATAATCTATCGAATAATTTCGCCCTCCATCGAACGAATATTCTATATTCTATCATACGCATGATGGGATTTTTCAACACTTTTCAGTACTTTCTAAGTAGTTTTTTTTGAAATTTTTCGCTGATTTATAATAATATCGGATTTTGTATTGTGGAGGTGCATAACCGGTTAACCTGTACAGTACATGCACGTACATGTACACGTACATGTACAATCATGTACATGTAGATCTACCAGTATGTGCACTGGCAAGTACAGGGTGCAGACATGACAGAAGAGCACAGTATGGAGAAAAAACGTTCACGGTTCGCGTGAGACTCGGCTAGAAGCCGAGTTTTCCGCATCCGCAGGAAAGCCACCACCCTCTTGGATCAAGGCGCAGATGCAGCTCCTAAAGCGGTGGGAGGTGTGTTGCATCATGTGTTTGCGGGGTTCACGGGGTCTTTTCCGTGAGCGATCGGTTCGGCATCCGGAGTCTGCTGAGCTGGTTGTTGCTGAGGCCCAGGTTGCTCGCATGTGAGAATCTATAAATTGCAGCAGATTATTTTTATTATAAATACTGGACATGGATATTGAATTAAACTGTACTCAGTGACTTTTTACATTTTACAGGCTACGTTTTATTATTATTACTATTATTATTATTGTAAAACTCGGATGTTGAGCCATAAATAAATGTAGAAAGGAAAAAGACATTATGGATACGAGTTAAGAGTAACTCTCCATCACTTAGCGCTACGGAGATGTGTTGAAGCTAGGCGTCAGGACGTCGAATGTCTCAGTACTCTGTCAGTTTTGTGCCTAGTTATTGCACTTTCTGACTGTATAAAGTATCATGTTATAGTGATGGAGAGTTACTCTTAACTCGTATCCATAATGTCTTTTTCCTTTCTACATTATTATTATTGTAAAGCTTTCCTTTTGATCTTGTCTCTTATTGTTGTGACCTTTCCACAATAATTGGGTTGCATTTAAAAAAATTCGTATGGTGGGAGGTGAGTAGATCAGACCCACCACAAAGTGGTCAAGACCGAAAATCACATTCACTACATCCATGTTTCCCTCGTATGGAAAAAAGAGAAGTAATACTAGATACCGGTAGGAGATTAAAACTTGGAGGAGAGGAGATTGAGAAGAAATACTGTACTACGAGCAGATCTACGCAGTGCAAATATCAGCAGGGTCAGCATTGAGCATAGATCCTTTTTTTTTTCTTTTTTTTCTTTTTTCGATTTCTGACAATTCCTACGACTTCGATTATTCGTTCACCCCACGAATATTCTAAATTATTCGATTATTCGATTATTCGTTTCAACACTACTAAATACTATACAACACATACCTTGTTCACACACTGCACGCTGTGCAGCAGTCGATTCCGCACTCAGACCACCTTCAATTGGACGCGAGCTCCACGCAAGAACATGTCCAGCGTGACCTTAGTATGCTATTGTTCTCACAAAGTTGCACTCTGCCATATGATCTTCCTTCCCTGGCTGTAAAATCAAGGCTGGGGCGCTCTCGTGAGACGGGGCTCTGAACGTTGCGATACTACAATAGTTTACTGTTTGCCCTAAATGTCATTACATGCCTTCGTATACGATGTGAATTGGACTGTTCTGGCTTTAATAGCTTCATTCTCTTGAGGTTGCTGCCATGCATGGCCTTCGGCACCAAATTTTGTTGTTTCATTTCTTTAGAATGTGCAGCCTTTCTTGTTTGTTGTGTTTCTGTGTAGTTTTGTTCGGTACAAGGGAGGCAGGTTTGAGATAACCAACATCGTTCCTTGCACCGAGGATGGCTACCGTGTGAGCTTCGCATGATGGATAATGCTTCCGTGGAATACCTGTGTGGGCTTCCGTCTCTCGGTCTGTCTGTGTGTGTGTGTGTGTGTGTGTGTATGTGCGTGCGCGCGTGCGTGCGTGTGGGTATGTGTGTGTGTTTGTTTGTGTGTGTGTGTGTGTGTGTGTGTGTGTGTGTGTGTGTGTGTGTGTGCGTGTGTGTGTGTGTGTGTGTGTGTATGTTTGTATGCATGTACTGTATTATCCCCATTTTAAGTCACACCCCCGTTCTCAGTTCTCCGTTGTACAGTTGCAGCATGTTGTCTTTTAGAAGCAAAAAAATCACACTTGCTTGCAAGTGACACCCCTTCTTCAACCTTGGTGTTAACATTCCTTGGTGTTTACTGTGACAAAGTGCGCTGGATATTCGAGGGAATACGGTTGCACAGATGTTGCCGTATCTATTGTAGCTTCATACCCCTGACCAGCGTGCGAACCAGGGTGCATCGCCTGGTGGGGACAGTACAAAATATTTTTTTTGTTCGCGTGAGACTCGGCTAGAGGCCGCGTTTTCCGCATCCGTAGGAACGCCACCACCCTTCAAGCATCAATGCGCAGACACAGCTCCTAATGCGTTGGGAGAAGAAAAAGAAGAGAGGTGGTGTGTGTGCCTTCCTTTTTCTTTGTTTCTCCAGGAAGCCTCTGCATTCATAACGGGGAAGTCGCTTTTTGGTGCGCTTCGGGTAAGTACTGAAACTTGGTTGTGTGTGTGTGGAGAGTTGTATGTGTGTGTGTGGGGGGGGGGGGGGGGGGGTAGAGAGACTGTGCTTTAGATGAATGCTGCATGCACGCTGCTCCGCGTGGCAGATGTGGGCGCCTTTCCATGCCCGTCGGTCATGTGCACTGACGGTATGAAGTGTACGGTCATGCATCAGTACAAGACTGTATTTTTTTGTGAACTATGGGCATTAGTGTGCCGCTTGTCATACGTTCTCTAAACGAAAAAAAGTGTCCGATGACAGGACAGCTGTCTGCATGCGTACGCTAAGCGTAGCCTGTACTGCACTGCACAAGCCTGATGTGTAGCGCGATAGACTTGTGCAGTGCTCAATCCACTTCATTTAGCCATTTTATGTCTGTGTACCAAGTACTGTATGAGTGCTGTTAGTTCTGGTGGGCAGTCTTGCAGAATGTGTGATTGTGGACAAGTATTAGTTGCACTGTTCTTTTTACCAACTCCACAGCGTACAGAACATTCAAAAGAGCAGCTGAGTGTGTGGGCTAGAGAACAATTCCTGCTTGAGACATGCCTCCTGTGACCTGTGTAGCGTGTGGCTGTGAGAACAAGAGGATTAAACTGGTTCAGTGCCTCCACTCTCTGTGCATATCGTGCCTTGAGCAGAATGTTGATGAAGATGGCTCCATCACGTGTCCGAAGTGCAGGGAGTCAACACCGTTGCAAGCTGGACTTTCTTCCATGCTGTCTTTGCCAGACAGTTATGCCAAGGCAGAGGGTAGTGGCACAGGAAAGAAGTCCATAGTATCGTGTGATGAATGTATGGATGTGGAAGTGGCTGTGTCGCGCTGTGCAACATGCAGCAGTCATCTGTGCAGTTTTCACACTGAAGGACACAAGCGTTCCCGAGCTACACATGGCCATGAGGTACTGTCATTGGATGACGTGGTTACTGAGACTGCTGCTACTGCTTCTTCAGCTACTCAGTCACAGCATCGCTGTGCACTGCACCCAAGCAGTCCCCTGACCAAGTTCTGCACGAAATGTAAGAAGCTGTTATGTGAGCGATGCATCAGCACTGGAAAACACGAGAAGCACAAACAAGATGTTGTGTCTATCAATGCTGCAGCGGAGAAGATAAGAGCATCAGTGAATGATTTGTTGTCGAGCTGTGTGTCTGAGAGTGATGGCGTTCTGGAGAGCTCCATTCAGAAAGTACAGTCCTCCATTCGTAACCTTCATGATCAGATAGAGGTTGCATCAGAAGAGGTCGTGCTATTTTTCCGTTCTCTGGTAGAATCTATTCAGAAACGTGAAACCAGTGTTCTGAATGAACTTGATGATCTTCGAAGTCAGGCACTGAGACTTCGAAACTGACACTTCTTGTGAGTCTACACAGATAAATTATAGGCATATATGCCTTAAGAAAGTAGTTGTGCCTTCTCATCTAATCGCACGGCGGTTAGTGCAGAGAACATGCAACTGACAAGAGGTGATGCTAAACCCAGCCCCAATACTATGTTACACTCAGCTAAGCAGCCAATGAAGTATTTAAAAATGATGTAAGCGAAGAAGACAGTGGGGCACAAGTTATGCCTCAAGAGTCCAGCAATTAGAGCAGATCTTGAACAGTTCTATACTAGCACAATGTAGCACAAGACTTGCAAGGAGTACTGAGACATTCCACGGCATGAAAGTCAGATTGAGCCCTGCTCAAGATTTATTTATCAATTTTTCAGAAGGCAAGACTTGTATTCTTGTGTAGAACAAGATTATTAATGCTGCTTCTTTTGTTACCATTGTTGTTTTTACTGTTTTGTGTAGTTCGAGAGTGGTGTACATCGTGTGCAGAGAGTACCAAAGTCGGATACCATGGGTCGTCGTCACACCAGCACCGTGGCCATCCTCATCCTACCAGAACCCACCGAGGTACGACGATGTGTTCACGTGTGTCCGTATGTCGGTATGTGTGTGTGTGTGTGTGTGTGTGTGTGTGTGTGTGTGTGTGTGTGTGTGTGTGTGTGTGTGTGTGTGTGTGTGTGTGTGTGTGTGGTGTGTGTGTGTGAGTGTGTGTGTGCATCGTGTGTGAATTGTGTGTCCCATATGGTGCAGTGGTATGTGCAGTCGATTCCCCATCAAGAGGTTGCAGGTTGAATTCGTGATTATATTTGTATAAGTCGCACGTGTTCACTTTCTCATTCTCTTAGCTCTTCTTTCATTCACCCTGGTGTTTACCTACTGCTAGTGGATGCCAGAGTGTGTGGTGTGGTTTGCATGTCCAAAAAAATCGAATAATATAGAGTAGGTATTCGCGGGCCAGAAAAAGCTGCTTCAGTGAGCTATGTGGAGGAGTGATCAGGTTAAAATTGTGGTAGTCGATTTATCAGCCTTCAGCATGTGTACGTGCATCCGTGCCTGTGGTTAGTCCAAATCAGACGCTGTGTGTTTGTGTGTGCGTGCGTGTGAGTGTGTGTGTGTGTGTGTGTGTGTGTGTTTGTGTGCGCCCGTGTTGGTTTGTGCCTTTCTTGCAGCTAGATATTGTCATAGATGCCAAGGATTTGAAATATGAAGTGTTCAGAGCATCTGGGTAGGTCTATGGCTTTTCACAAAGAAGTTCTGTCCAGTTGGACTCATGACCATCTAGGAATGAATGATATTCGTATAAGATTTTTCGGCCGGAAACAGTTTGTTGCAGCTCGTGAGCCGTCCTGTGTTCAAAACATTTGCCCGATAGTGGATTGACACATGGAATATTCGCAGGAGTTACACTGGCGGGTCTTGGCTTTTTGTGGATGGGAATGCATCACCCTAAAGCAGTGTTTACAACTGGTACGTGTACTGTACGCGTGAACCACGCATTCGTGCGTACTTTGCTGGCTTTTGGTCATCTTCGGCCGCTTCAGGAGCTGCATCTGCGCCTTAAGGCCGGTTCACAATACAACTTCTTGCGACTTGCGACACATGTGACTTGCGACACATGCGACGAGCTGCGACAGCGACACACGGTTCACAATGTTCTTCATGTTTGCGACATCCACATGCACAAGTAGTACTATGCACGTGCACTGCACGTGCATCCAGGGTCGAAACTGTACTCCATTTGTGTATGTCGCGAGTCCCATGTCGCAAAAGTTGATTTCTTCAACTTCTGCGACAGGTACCTTGCGACAGCTCGCGACAGGCAGTTTCTTGTCGCAGCTGTCGCGAATCGCGTATCGCGTCACAGAAAGTTGTATTGTGAATCGCCCTTTAGATCTTTGCAGGGTGGTGGTGTTCCTACGGATGCTGAATACTCAGTCTAACTGAATCTCTAGCGAACTCTTTTCTTTGTTGGTCGTCATGCATATGAAATCATGCCAAAACGAGAGAGCTTGGAAGCTCAGGGCCCTACGCTATGCTTTTTTGCCTTGATGACCTAGGCAAAAAAAGCATAGTAAATTTTTCATTTATCCTATTTTTTCAAGACATAACCTGGGATTCGAACCCGCACTGTCGCCCTGCATGCATCCCCGATACACTTCGCATACATACTAATTCTTCCAAGTTGCTTCACGTTATGATCTTGCATTTGAAAGCCCTATTTGAATATTGTGGCCAGCTGTTTGTGGCCAGCCACCTTTGATGGTACGGTACGGGACAGGTACGGTCGAGGGTAATACGACACCGTCTACCACCTTGATGACCTAGGCAAAAAGCATAGGGATGTTATAATTTTTTCGATTCTCCTATTTTTCAAGGCATAACCTGGGATTCGAACCCGCACAATCGCCCTACATGCATTACCCGATACACTTCGCATTCATGCTCATTCTTCCAAGTTGCTTCACGTTATGATCTTGCATTTGAAAGCCCTGTTTGAATATGGTGGCCAGCTGTTTGTGGCCAGCTGTCTTTGATGGCACGGTACGGTACGGGATAGCGCCAGACGGAGGTCCGCCCGCCCGCCACAAACACCAAATTAAAGCTGTGTGGACCCGGGCTAGCGCCAGACGTTACTGAAGTAACGTCTTCTGCATAGCTACGGGAATAAAATTCCAGTATGTTTTATTTTCCAGCACATATCAGGCGCGTACCGGCGTACATGCCAGTCACTTTGATTCACAGGGTCAAAAACTTAGTATTCGGTGGCGTCGCCCGCC